TTTCTGCCCTATTTCACAGTTCAAACGAAGTTGAGTAATATTATTGTAAAGACGCTTAGCAATCAAACAAAAAACATTTCGCTGTTTCAAAAGTTTTAAATTGTCTCTTTGCAAATAAATGTTTTTGTCCTTGGTTTTGATTAACTCCGACTCCTTCAGTTCGATCCACATCCTCCGTTCCCCACTCTTCGAAGACACCCTGCTTATTTGGTCAGTTAGGTTAGAATTGGTGACTCGAGTTTGAGTTAAACTGCTGTCTAGATGAGAAATTCTTGAATTAACATTTTTTAATTCTTTTTCATATGAGCATTGTGGGACTTTGAATGAAACGGATTGTACCTTCTTGATCAGTTCATCAAGCTCGTTAAATTGCACGCTGAGCGGTTTTGCTGTAAAGCACATGTCCTTTTGCTCCTTCGTGTCTTTATTCCCACCATCTGTGTTGTATCCGCTCATTTGAGATACATCAGACACCATCAAGCATTTTCCACTGCTATCCTTCTCTTTCGCCACATAAGCTTTTCCATGAGAAGGCCTCCTTACTTCATCATCCTCGGAGTCAGTTGACCAGACCTCCACACCTCCGAATTCATCATTTGCTATCGAACCCTGCACAATTAAATCATTCATAGACGGGTTAGCAGTAGATTTCTTCTTCTTGATCTCATCCAGCTTTTTCAGCAACAAAGCTTCTTCATCTTTTTCCTCATCCTTTTCTACCATTTTTTTGAGGACACAATCTTTAGCATAGTGATTCTTTCCTCCACCGTAATAGCAGCTTACTCCCGAATCTCCTTCAGCTTTTGGTTCCTTCTTTGATTCTTCTGCTTTCGGTTCGTCTTTGACCTTTTCAGAGCTATAACTTCCCTGCCAATTTCTGTTCTTATTGGTGGGAAATCTTTTCTTGATGAACCTCTTGGGGTTTGATACCATCATAGCATAGTCTTCAGAAGTAAGATCATAGTCTTCTATGTTGAGGTCTTCATATTCAATCACCGCTTTACTTTTGGATAGTAGGGCCAATGAACCCAGGCTTGAAACTACATTTTTCTCCTGTAGTATGATCTTCATCTTCAATCACTGCTTTACTTTTGAATTGCTCATGCGCTTTAACTGTGGACACTACAGCTCTCCACTCAGATCTGAGGCCGTTCAAAAACGTGACCTTCTGCTCAATTAACTTCCTTTCAATATAATGTTTAATCATCTTGCTAAGAAGATGATTGAAGCGATCGAACGTTTGAGTCACGGTTTCTTCGGCTCCCTGCTTGAATTCACCAAACTCGGATAAGAGTAAGGTTTGAATGGAGTGTTCAAGATCTTCGTCCGTAGAATACAATTCTCGAAGCCTGTCCCATACTTCTTTGGCAGTAGTACACGAACTCACCAGCCTGAAAGTGTCAGATTGAAGAGAAAATCTGATTAATCTCAATGCTTTAATATTGCACTGAAATTTATCTTTTTCGTCTTGGGCAACATCTTTAACATCTTTCAAAAGATCATTATACTCCTTTTGAGTTTTAATAATCCTTGAAGTTGCAGAATGAGCGAAAGGTCCCGATACGATTGCTTCCCAGATGAGGTATCCATTGTCCTTAGACCCTATAACATAATCTTCAAAGTGATGTGCCCAGACTTCATAATCTTGGGTGTAAAGGATGGGAATCTTCGTTGTTGATCCAATGTTGTTCGAAATATTAATGGGATTAGACGGCGACTTGTCCATGCTTGATCGAATAACCTGTTTGAAAGATCATACTTGTAATATATAATATTAGGGCAAAACGAACAAGTAATGAGATACGTCAATTATGGGGTGACGGCTCAATAAATATTAGTTAATGCGGAATAAACCCTAATAACTTCTTTCACAGAAGAGATATGTATGAATTACACAGCCTCCCGCTCTGATACCAATTGTTGAGATATAAATCTCTTTGATCGATTAGATCTTTGAAACAGGTATATAAAGAATGTAAAGCAATGAAACAATACTCAAGAATGGATTTGAATGTGTTGAATGATTAGAACTTTCAATCCTCAGCCGAGCTCGATAAAGAACTTCCGCTGTAGAGGATTCTAGGGTTACAAAAAGATATCTTCTAAAATTACACGTAAAAACCCCGATCTATCAGTTACTAAAAAGATGCATGCAAACATCTATTAATACACAAACCCTAGAAAATAAGATACGGATGGACAGGCCCATACCGCATAAAAGATGGGCTAGGAAGCGAGCCCAAGACGCAACACCAAGTACCCAACACCCAGTGTACCTAAGATACGCCCAACGTAATTGAAGGTTTCAGACCCTATAAAAGGGATGCGAGGGAAGCCGAGTTCCTTGCTCAATTCCTCTTCTCTCTCTCTCCAATTTTACCTCGTTTTTCGTGCAAGAAATATCTCGAAGCCCGTTATCATTCCCGAGCCCCGAAGTAAGTCCCAAAGGCTGAAGATCCAAAGAAGTAGAGTTTTCGAGCCGAAGCTTTGCCCGCGAGAATCTCGGTTTTTGTGGAGATCACCCAGTTTCACCGAAGAATACTATCATTACAAGCCGTAGTGCTGTCCGATCATCTTCTGATCAAGTGAGTGTGTGGTTTCTTTTTTCTAACACATAAATATGAAGTATTTGCTTTAAAATAGTGTTATATGTATATATATTGTTGTTTATTTGAAGTGGGTGTATATTCCTTTTCTTCTAACACACTGATACAAAGTATTCTATATAAAATACGTGTTATGTGTTTATACATTATTTTTTTATTTTAAATAAATGTTGAATAAATGTTTTATACAAATTTTAAACTATATATGTATTTTTATCTACAAAAGTGTTGGGTAAAACATAGGTAGATAGTTGATGTGTGTTAAAATGAGGAGAGGCATCGATGCTATTGTTTTTTATTTAGTCATCTAGCGGAGTTTAGATGACGATCACATACTTTTCTGGACAGTCCTGTGGAACGCTAGCAGGTTCGCCACCTGTAGGTGTTAATGAACTTGGGTTTTCATTCGCTATACTCCATTCCCATCATGGTTGTCTTATTTGACATATATTGCTAGGAAACCACCGGGGGCATGTGTTGTCTCCTCGATGAAATATTCTTAGACTAGGTCCCTTGTGTTAGTTGTCTTAGGGACGTAAAGTGAAAATAACGGGAATGAGTAATTGGGTTATCGTTGGTTGGTGGAATTAAAAATTATTATTTATTGTGGGTTGAAAACCCTATATGCTCACTAGACTCCCAAGCCTGACCCACTCAGTTTTCTTTGTATTACAGGTAGTGGCGCCAATGCATAAGTTGGATGACTTGTCAAGATTATTTTTGGATTATAGACATGTTGTTATATTTAACTGTTGTAAGGTCTATTTTGTAATGTTTATAATTTTGGTCTGTTTATCGGAACATAACATCCCGAGTTTTGTTATATAATGAAAATATATTTCTTTAAGAAATGCTTTGGTAAATCTTATTTTATCATATTTTCTTTTGTGAACAAATTCCGCAACTTTTTTAATCAAATGATTACTCTGAAAGTAGTTTAAACGTATAAATTAAACCGGTCTTTTCTGGCTGTGATTTTGAGGATGTCATATAAACAATAGTCATAACATAAAAAATAGGATCCTATAAGTAGTATTTAACGATGATTTTAACACTTTTATATATCTATAAGCAAACAATGGCCATATTTTTTATTTTATGTGTCTAAGTGATAACATATCTCATGATATAAAATAAATCAATGTTATTAAAGGATAAACAATCATCACAACATTAAAAAATGGGATATATATATGTTTAAAACTAAACAATTGTCACATTGTTTTTATTTTTGTGTCTAAAAGATATCATATGTCATGATATAAAATAAATCAATGTCAATAAAAGATAAATAATCGTTACAACATAAAAAAAGGATTTCATAAGTGTTATGTCTATGGTGATGATAAATAATCGTCACAACATAAAAAATAGGATCTCACAAGTGTTATATCTGTGGTGGTTTTAACTTTTATATGTCTAAAAGTAAACGATTGTCACATGTTTTTCTTTATATGTTCAAATGATATTATATGTCATGATATAAAGTAAATCAATGTTACTAAAGGATAAGAATAGTCACAACATAATAAATATGATTCTATAACTATTGGAACATTTATATATGTCTACAAGTAAAAATTGATAACTTTGATTTCATTAGTTGTTTCTTTGTGTCTAGATATTAGTGAATGCCATCATCTAACATAAATAAATGACTAAATGGTAACCAGTAAGCACAATTATAATTAATTATGAGCTTATAAGGAATGAAGTGGGATGGATCGATAGGATGGTGGGTTGGTAAGATTAACCTAATTTCTTTTTGTTTATTAAAAATAATTTTAAAATATAAATAAAAATTGAAAATAAAAAAAAAACAATAGAATGACCATTCTACGGTGCATAAAGATTACCAAGCAAAAAAAGTGAAGATACTGAAATGAGATGGTTAAACTTATCATTATAGGTATTATAGGTTGTTATGTTGATATTATAAAGTTTCATGCTTAGTAAATTCTTCATTATTTATTATTATTATTGAGACATATTTTATTAAACTTTATAAAATATAATATATTATAAAAAAATATTAATAAAATATATAAAATAAAATAATAATATATTAATCTATTAAACTCTAATAAAATAAAATACACTGTGAATACCTAAAAAACAAAAAAACTAGTAGAGATTTTATTATTATCTACCTTCTTATTTTTTTGTTTACAAAATCCTTTTATATAAGTTTGAAAATCTTCAAAGTTTGTCCCAAAAGAAAAGTACCATACACAACAATCGCAATTCCCCAAACACTCCAGAAGTGAATGAAACCTGTGCTTCATGCAAAGCCTCGTATGTCCAAGTCACCACACACGTGTCATCACCATATATCTCCCCTTTCATCTTTAAAAACCCCATCTTTCTTCCACCTCTTCCACCTCATTACAAATCATGGCAACTACATACGACCGTCAACATCACACCGCCCAACACCACACCGCCCAACCCCACTTCCGCTATGACCGCACCACCGGCGACAAACTCCCTTACCCGCAACAAGGTCCATCCGGCAGCAAAATAATGGCCATCATGGCCTTACTTCCAATCGGCGGGATCTTACTTGGCCTAGCGGGAATCACCCTCGTCGGAACAATGATCGGACTTGCTGTTGCTACTCCGGTGTTCATCATTTTCAGCCCTGTTATTGTCCCGGCGATTCTAACAATCGGCTTGGCTGTCACTGGGTTTTTGACATCGGGAACTTTTGGGTTGACTGGGCTGAGCTCCTTGTCGTACTTGGTGAACCTGTTGAGGCAGTCAACACCGTCGCTTCAAGATCAGATAGACTATGCGAAGGAAACAGTTCAGGATGTGGGAATGTATACCGGGCAGAAGACGAAGGAGATGGGTCAGACAATTCAGCAGAAGGCTCATGAGATAGGACCTCAGGGTCAAACCGGTCAAGGGCATCAAGTTGGTGGAGGTGTTCATGTTCAAACTGGTGGTGGGAAAGAAGGTGGGAAAGGTGGTGATCGGACTTGAGGATTTCAAGATTTAAAGAGTGTTTGGGAATAATGTTGATTGTAATCTTTTAGTTGTGTTTTCGAATGTTTGTTTTGTTGTACTTTTTTTTTCCGGTGGTATAATCGTTTGTTGTATTTATGTGTGTTAAGATTTGGTTTTCATATGATCGGATGTTTTGGTTGAATCAAAATCAGGTTAAATGGAGATTAATCATGTATGTTACAATGTTTATACTCATCGATTTATGTAGTTGATAAATTTTCAGTAACAAAATGAATACCACGGGTCATTGGAAAGTCGTTAACTAAGATGCGCAACAAATTATACATTGGTGTATATTTTGGTACGATATAGTTGCAAGAGCAGTAATACGACTACTTTTTGTTAGAGAGTTCAAATTCTATGATAAGTAAAGGGATGGATTTAACGTTTTTGTTGTTCAAATTCTATGATAAGTCGTTAACTAAGATTGCCAACAAATCAAAAGCGTTGATATTACCCTAATTTTTGTTGTTCAAGAAACAACAAATTAATGTTTCTATTAACAAGCCAAATAAAGTAAAATTAAAAGTAAAAGCGTTCATATTATTCTAATTGTATTTTGTTATTCAAGAAACACCAACAAATTAATTTCTTTTTTTTTTTATTAAAAAGCCAAATAAAATTACCTATTAATGTCTTTTTTTTTCTAATTTTTTTATTAAAAAGCCAAATAAAATTACCATAAATTAATGTCTTTTTTTTTATTATTAAAAACCCAAATAAAATTATCATTAAAATTATTATTATTTTTTTAAAATGACCAACATCTCTGGGTTAATGTTCTTTGTTTACCGGTGATCAGGTGATCAAAGGTAAATATGACATGACTTATAAAAAAAAACAAATTACATGGAAACTCAAATGTTCCATTTAAATGTTACAAGGGAAATCATTTCACCATTAAGGTTTTAGTGAAAGGTGAGTCATGGTGGTGAGTTAGTGCGGGTTAATCTTGGTTCAACCGTCTTAAAAGTAAAATATGACATGATTTATGAAAACAAATTACATGGAAATTTAAATGCTCTAAGGGAAATCATTTCACCATCAAGGTTTTAGTGAAAGGTGAGTTATGGTGCTGAGTTATTAATTTAGATCAAATGTAAATATGACATGACTTACGAAAACAAATTACATGGAAATTCAAATGCCCCAAGGGAAATCATTTCACCATCAAGGGTTTAGTGAAAGGTGAGTTATGGTGCTGAGTTATTGAGGGTTAATCTTGGTTCAACAGTCTTAATTTAGACAAATCATACGCTTGACGCTACAAACTACTTCAAAAGGATGTATATTTGCCTGAAGTCTGTAAAGGATGGTTGGATTGAAGGATGTAGAAGGGTTATCAATGTTGATGGCTGTTTTTTGAAGGGTATTTGCAGAAGTGAGTTGTTAACAACCGTTGGTAAGGACGCAAACAACCAAATGTACCCTCTAGCATGGGCTGTTGTAATAGTTGAAAACAAGGAAACTTGGATGTGGTTCATTGATCTTGTACTTGAGGACATTGAGATAGGAGATGGTAGGGGTCTGACAATTATTTCGGACCAACACAAGGTGTGTTTTAGTTTACTTTTACTTACTACATTATGTGTTTTACAACTAAAATTTGTTATCACCTTGTAGGTTTTGATGGAGGCTGTTAAGGAAAGGGCACCATCATGTGAGCATAGGAATTGTGCCCAACACATCTTTGCCAACTTTAAGAAGAAATGGTTCATGAGTGTCGAGTTTAGGAGGTTATTTTGGAGATCTGCAAAGGCTACAACTAACTCCACTTTCCACTCATACATGAGGGAAATTCGTACAATGTCCATAGAAGCTTATGACGACCTGATAGAAAGAGACCCGAATACATGGTGTAGGGGATTCTTTGAACTTGAGAATTGTTGTGATGCTGTGGAAAATGGTAGATATGAATCTTTCAATGCAACAATCGTAGAAATCCCGGAAAAAACCCATAAAAACAATGCTGGAAGAAATCAAGTTGTACGTGATGGAGAGGATGTACAATCAAAAGCTTAAGGGGCAAAGTAGGACTTGGAAAGCTGCCTTTTTATTAGAAAGAGGATTGAGAAGATAAAAGAACAACAAAGGTATATTATTTAATTGAAAGTGAATTAATATGAAATAACGTACCTTCTTAATATGATTTCAGAGCATGTATTAGGATGTTGTTCCAAGTGGTAAGCAAGAATATGAAGTGAAATTAGCCCTTGGAGTTTATACAGTTCACCTTGAACACAAAACATGTGGTTGTAGAGACTGACAACTTAGTGGTATCCCTTGTGTGCATGCTATCGCTGCAATATTGTATCTGAATGGAAAGGAAGAGGACTATGTAGTTGTGTGGTTTAAAACAAGCATGTTTGGAAGTTGTTATAGGTATCCAGTCAAACCAATTAATGGATCTAACATGTGTCCTGATGTTCTATGTGATCCCATATTACCACCTAGGCATAGGAGAATGTCAGGAAGGCCCAAAGTAAACAGAAGGAAATGTCCTACAGAGAATGAAGGAAGGCATACAATTAAGAAGATAGGGATGTCCATCTGAAGATGCGGTAATGGTCATCAAGAAGGACACAACAAGTGTCGATGTCCATTGCTCATAGAAGGTTGACTTTTATTTTGATTATTCATTCATCTACATTTGTATAATAATAAAATTATTTGTTTTAACAATGCGGAAAATAAACCAATTGTTAGTGAAAAAGGGGTTGTTGAAGAAGGTGATGTTGAAGACAACAAAGAGGATGAAATTGATCACCAAGAGGATGAAATTAACCATCAATAAAATCATGTTGAAGACCACCAATAAGATCATGTCGAAGACCATCAAGAGGCTATTGTTCAAGATGAAGTTGCCAATATTGAAGTTGTTGTCCAAGATGAAGTTCACCATCAAGAAGTTGTTGTTAAAGTTGACCACCATGAACCTATTTTTGATGAAGTTGACCACCATCAGCATCAACATGTTTTTTTTTGCCAACAAGAGACGATTACCTTCTGACAGGATCACGAAACAAAATCCTATATTTTTCATAAAACTGAACTGTAGTCTTATACATTCTAAGACCGAAAAGTATAAGTATATATGCCATACTTAGTTTAGTGATATGTAGTTTTATTTGTAAATAAAACCATTTGAAGTGATATGTTTTTACGTAAAATAAGCATATTATCGATTTCACGTAAAAATAATGTATTGCCGTTTATCATGTGAGTTTTCATAACCATGCTGAAATGAATTGTCTGCCTCGACGTTTTTCAGGCGTCGAAATTTTATGACATTTGTCACCCATAACCTGCCGGTTTAGCTGTAGATATTAGCCAGGGTGCGGGATCATCAGTCCCGTATAGATCTATACACGAATATCATGCTCTCCGGAAGGAGACTCTGGTTATAAAGCAAGACTTCAACGTATACCTTTGGTAGGTACGATGAAGACGAATGATTCACAAATTTCCAACGAGATACGTGTTTTTGTAATAAAAATGTCCGTACATGAAATTGTTACTCCTTATGTTTATAATATATAAAAATAATCTTTTTTTATATAATCGTTTCTTTTCCCTGAAAGGGTAAAATAATATGAATGTTTCCCAAACTATACCTATTATAGTTTAAAATGTATGTTTGATAGAAAATGATAACTGTTTCATTTTAACATGTTTTGCATGTAAGTGTTTGCAAATTTGGTAACCGTTGTTTCACATATGTGATAACCCGAAAATCTTTGCCTTGTAAGTTCATCCATTCAATCCAATAGTGTAGAAAACTCATTTCTGGTGTCTTTTAGCCTTGTTTAGAGTGAGTTTAAGGGTTCAAATCTTATTACATTCAAGCATTGGGTATAGGATCGAGTTGTGTAAGTTCTTCGCGTTGAAATCAAGCCGAACACTCCATATGAGGGAGTGTACGGGGGTACACATGTGTGTGCGGCCGTACACCCATGTTGGCCATACACCCCCTCCATAAGTGTGATATCCCTTCATTTGCATGCAATTTCCTTAGTTTCCAAGTCAAGAACATCGAATTCTCTCTCAACTATCATCGAGCTTTCACCCTGATCTTCAAGAATGTAACTCTTTCTTCTGTTTTGATTTGTTGTTATCCTTCTTCTCCTAGTAACACCCTTTGATTTCATCCATGGAAATCATCTTTTGGCAAGATCTTCAAATATTCATCCATTTCACCAAGAACACCAAGAACACACACTTGTTCTTGGTGATTATGAACCCTTTTGAGCCTCCAAATCGTAAGTACCACTTCCCTATGCTTAGTACATATTAGGAACACCTGATTAACACCTTAAAATCGACCAATATCAAATTCATAAGGAGTGTACATCCATACACCCATGTGTGGCCGTACACCCCTCAAAACACCCCTAAAGGGCCTTCAAAATGCAAATCTAGCTTCAAGACTTGATGAGCAATAGTCCTACAAGCTTCCGTACCATTCAAACACACATTTGTGCACTTTTTACCATGAGTGTATAGCTGCACACTCCCTGGCCGTACACCTATGGCCGCACACTCCATTTTGTGGCTGTACACTCCCCTTAGATGAATCACATGTGATTCTAACACTTGGTCCAAGCGTTTCATAGTCCCTAAAGGTGTTTCCTCGCACGTGGGTGCTTCTAAACACTATATTCATGCCAATATATGCCATTATATGTAAGTTAGGACTCGTATGTGTCTCGGGACTTCACTAGTGGAGATTTTCATCCTTACGCACATATTCGTTTGAATCACCCACATAAGGTGAGTTCATACCCCTATACTTAATATTTTAAATTGTTTTAAATGCTTTTAGGGTGGGAGGGGGGGGGGGGGATACTAGTTGAACACGATGTTAATTGTGTAAATGTTTTGTTATAAACATCTTTTAAAGGGATGCTTATGTTTTTCATAAGTGATCAAAACGTTTCAAAAACTCTTTTTAAGTTATGTTACTTTATAGTTGATAA